ACTTCATCCCCCATCAGACCTTCCATTATTCCACTGGTTGCAATTCCTTAAGGGGGTTTCCAAAGTAATTTTCCTATTTCTGAAATGGATTTAGCACACGTGCATATAAACACACACACATATGTACACACACACACACACACAGGAAGCACCATCTTGAGAAAATTCACAATCTTGGTTTCCTGGCTTCTTTAACGGAAACTGCGATGCTAACTAGCGCACTACGGAATTTAAGCACGGCCCTGTTTTCAAACCTACACTCTGCGTACGCGTTTAAGCCATATCTGTATTCATAGATTAAAAGAAAAAAACAAACAAACAGACCAATTAATTAGCAACGGGGAGCCACTTAGGAAAAAACAATTGATCTTGCCCAGGTTAATTCTCTTCCACATGTCGCTGTGCGTAAGAATACACAACAACAGGACACGTCCAATACTTAGAGGGGTCTGCAAGGAAAGTTATAATTACCCATTTCTGATGCGCAGGAAAGAAAGCAAATTAAATTGCCTGCAAGGTATATTTGGACTATTAAGAGGAAGGGGTGCATTAAAGACGGGGTCTTATTAAAGAAGCCACCGCTCAAAAGAGGTGGAATAACCCTTCTAGGGGAAAATCAATTTTATTTCAACAGGAGCGTCCTGCAGAAATTCTACTGCTGCTGTTGTTTTAAACCTGCACTGATATACTTTCTGTTTATATTGCTTCTTGCAATGCTCTTAAATCAACGGTTTTATAACCACGCTAGCTAAGCGGAGGGCTGGATGAACAGAAGAAATTCCGCTAGTTATTGATTTGAAGGCCAGCAGCTCACTGTAAAGGGGGGAAGGGGTGCAGGCATTGACTAACCAACACCAGACCTTTTGGGGGGGGGGGAAACAGGAAACAGGGAAGGTGCTAATCTTAAAGGAGCAACGATGAGTATCTAGAATTAAGGAGAAATTTCTCCACGGTGAGAACAAGGAATCAGCTGGAACGCAGTTTGCCTTCAGAAGTTGTAGGTGCTCCATAACCCTGGAGATTCTCAAGAAAAGATTTGGATCCTCATTTGTCTGGGATGGGATATAACAGTGAGGGCAAACCTTTTTGTTGTGGAGTGCCGAAAGCGTGCATGTGTGCCAGCACCCACAATGCAATGCATCTCGCCCCCCCCCCCCCCCGCGCATGCATGTGTGACGCCCTGCCCCGCCCCCTTCCTGCACTGCACATGTGCGTGCCTCCCAGCTGGTTTGAGGCCCGTTTGAGGCCGTTTTCACCCTCCTGGAGGCTCGAGGGAAGCCTCGGGAGGCCGAAAAACGGGCCCGTTTCGGCACTTCTGGTATTTCCAGAAGTCTCATGCATGCGCAGTGCAGTTAAGTTTGGCTGGGGCTCGTGTGCCCGCACAAATGGCTCTGTGTGCCATAGGTTCGCCCTCACGGGTATATAAGATCTCCTGCCTTGAGCAGAGGGGTTGGACTAAATGGCCTCTTGAAGTCTGTATTGAAATCCCTTCCAGCCCCATGATTCTATGATTTCTATTGTGTGCAATTCAGGGCTATTTTATGGACACAAAAGCTAGCCAGAACCTGGCCAAGGAAAAAGGACAGGCTCATAAATCCTCCCTCACAGCCAAGGCAGAGCTTCCCAGGAGATGCTGCCCTCACCGTTTGATTTATTCGAAGGTTTTCCTTGGAAGAAAAGCTAAAGAAATGGAACCGATGAGGAATGGAGGCACAGGGAACCATTCGAAATGGGAGGAAGGGAAGAAGTTACGGCCATTAACGATGCCAAACAATATTTTATGGTTTCAATTCGGACTGTCTAAAGGGGACGAAGCTCAAGCCCTCGCAGAGATCTGTTTTAAGTTGATTCTTGCAAATAATTCCTTCAAATTAACTCCAATCACACTTGGCCAATAAAGGATTCTATGGTTCTATAATTCTATGATAACAGCTCTGCCTGGATGCCCGGATGCCCATTTCAGAAGAAAGACTCTACTTAAAAGGGCAGTTTTACAGGTTACCTGATATTAGAGAGGAACTGTCTCAGACGGGAGGAGGGATCAAGCAGGGAATTAGCCTGGAGGCCTCAGTGGTTAAAAATGCTGAGTTTGGAGAGCTGACAGCTCGGGTTTGAGACCTGAGCTCCACGCCACAGAGCGAGCTCTTGTTCTTGCTCCAGCTTCTGCCCCCCAAGCGGTTCGAAAGCATGCAGATGCGAGTCAATAGGTACCACTATGGTGGGAATAAGTAAATAAACAGATAAATAGGTACCACTATGGTGCGAAGGCAACAGCATAAGAGAGCCACGGTGTGTTGTGGTTAGCCAGCAGCAGGTGCGGACGGCTGAGGAGAGCGAGGACTCAGATGAGGGGCCAGGACCATTAGGGAGTGGGCTGCTGCCTTCAGAGATTGTGGGCGCTGGCAGCAGAGATGAGGAGGTTCCCGAGGAGCCTGTGCCAAGTGCGTGTGCGCGCAGGATTGCTCAAAGGAAAGAGCAGCTGCAACAGCACGGGCGAATCAGGAGTAAGGCTGCAAGGCAATGGCCCCTCCTTCAAGAAGATAAAAGCCAGCTGTGAAGAAAACGTTCTTTGCAGGAAGCAAAGACGTTTTGAAACTCAGCCTCGTGGACAGTATCTTAAGTTGGTATTTGAAGACTCTTGTGTTGTAAAATATTTCTTATCTGTTATTCTTGGCAGCCTCGCATAGTTTTGGCGAGGCTCATGCTTATCAAAGTTAATTTGTTTTCAGCAGCCTTTTAACCAGGGATTCGTAAGACTCATTAAAAGGTTTCTGTTCCCTTTGGTTCACGTTTTGTTTTATTGGAAAAGAGTTTGGGTCAGAACACGGTGGTGCCGTGGTCAGAATGCAGTATTGCAGGCAGACTCAGTCAGGAGTTCCATTCTGACCAGCTCAAGGTTGACTCAACCTTCCATCCTTCTGAGGTCAGTAAAATGAGGACCCAGATTGTTGGGGGGAGCAATAGGCTGACTCTGTAAATGCTTAGAGAGGGCTGGAAAGCACCATGAAGCGGGATATGAGTCTGAGTGCTGTTGCAATTCTGTGTGCTTTTGGCATATAGCCATGCTGGCTACCTGACTACGGAAAAGATATCCCGGCAATGCTGGCTCCCTCGGCCAAGAAATGGAGGTGACACAGCTGGACAGGGAAATGTCTACCTGTTTCACCTTACATAAACACAAAAGGGGTGGATCTGACCCCTGCCCTGAATGCTTTTGAGCCTTACCTATCTTTTTTTTCCCCCAGGCAAAAGTTGCCACTCTGGAAAGATTCCTGTATTAGAGGCATAAAACAATAAAGTAGCTTGTTTGAACTCTACATCTGTGAGTCTGGTTGTTTGGGCCTGACGCCAGCAGCAGATCCCACCCTGCCCAACTCTTGGGAGTAGAGAATGAGAACCTAGGGTATTTGATGAGTAGAAACTGCCGGGTTCATAACGAACCAATTAAAGAGGACGTGTGGACAGCATCAATCTCTCCCGGTAAGGATTCTGTGAACTCTGGACGGTGTCAGCATGAGTGTGTCCTACACATCTCTTCTTTGTGGCTCTTAAATGTTTCACACTGAGCCAAATGGGTTGCGATGAAAGGTACATTAATGGTGCTACGTTTATTGGCATTCACCTTCACCGAGTCTATATTTAGCATCGTTGTGGTTCTCTCAAAGCAACGGTCGTAAATTTAGATCAGAGGGTAAGCCGGGACTGCGGAGAGGCTGCTTGCAAAGAGATGACAGAAAAACATCCAAATACACAAGACGGATTAACTACCAGGGGCCTGCCTTTAAATCCTGGTCTGTACATTCCTCCGTCCCCACGCTGAAGGAACAAAACATCGTCAAAAGTCCTTGGGATTAGCCACAAAGAGACAGGAAAGCCAACAGAAGTGCAATGCAATCCTAAGCTGCATTAACAGAGGGATACAATGGAGATCAAAGGAGGTACTAAGACCACTCTATAAAGCCTTAGTAAGGCCACACCTAGAGTACTGCATCCAGTTTTGGTCACCACACTATAAAAAACATGTTGAGACTCTAGAAAAAGTGCAGAGAAGAGTAAGCAGGATGATTAGGGGACTGGAGGCTGAAACATATGAAGAACCGTTGCAGAAACTGATCTAAATTAAGAGGGTTTAATTACTATTTTTTAACTTTTTGAAATCTTTTGGAAGGATGCATTTTTTTCTATGCAAAAGAGACCACCAACCAACCAGCCCAAAAGAGAATAAAAAGATCCCAGCACCCAGAGCAGCATAGATGAACTCCAAAGTTAACTTCAGACCATCCATCAAATAAGCAACACCCCATCAAAAAACTGCCAAAGAGCCATCAGTGAACGGCCCATCCAAAGAATCCCCACCACACACACACAGAGACAAGCAAGTCACCAGAATATAAGCTGACAGCAAACTGCACTCCTTACTAGCACTGAAGACATTACCTAGCTGGGTCATGAAACATCTGCAAGAAAACAAGCAAGCTCAAAGAAAAACAGTTCCTCCTCCTCCTCTTCCTCTTCCTCCTCCTCCTCCCTGCAAATATACTCTCCCTTCTAGCACTGATGATGTTGCTTAGTTGGGTCATGAAACGTCTGCAAGAAAACAACCAAGCTCAGAAAGCACCAAGGAGCTGACAGTTCCTCCTCTTCCCTCTCACAAACTTAACTTCCTTCTAGCATGATCCTAGTTTGGTTCATGAAACATCTGCAATCAAATCAAATCAAATCAAACCTTTATTGTCGACGCACAACAAAGGTGTACAATGAAATTGAAAAGCAAGCTCAGAGAGCACCAAGGGCCCCACAGTTGTCCCTCCTCCTCTTCCTTCTCCCCACTCACAAACCCCACTCTTTTCTAGCACGGATGATGTTCGCTAGCTGGGTCCTGAAACGTCTGCAAGGAAACCACCAAGCTCAGAGAGCCACCAAGGACCCCTCGTGTCAACCCCGAGCTACAAAGATTCTCCTTTATTGGTGCACCCCCTAATGTTTTGGCCCTCAATCACCTCCATTTCCTTGCAGTAGGCTTCCCCCTTCTTCACCAACTCCTCGGCTTCTTGCACGCGGGCGTTGAGTTGCAGTAAGCGCTCCGATTGGTTCGTCTCCATGTCGTAGGATTGCACAATGGAATTCATTCTGTCACGGGCCTGGGAAAAAAGCGGCAGGAAGGAAGAACAAACAGGGGAGAAAAAACTGTTAAGTTTCCATTCAGCGCAACTCAGAGGACAAGTTGAACACACAAGGGACATGTGATGACCCAAAAGTGGGGTAGCACAAAGGCAACACAGTCAAATAAGCAAGAAGAGTCCCTTCATTATCTCCAACTTTGCCCCCAGTTTCCAGGTTACCTTCGGCTGGAGAAAATCTCTCCCAGGAACAGCCTTTAAGTGAAGGAAATTCAAACTGAAAACAAAGTACATACAAACTGTAAATAAAGATCCAAACAAGCCAAGCTGAAGTAATTAACTTGACAGGGCAGGAGAAGGAATTGCAGACTTGAAAGCACGGCAAAACTCACACACGTTGGGAAGACGCCAGGGAAACAGATAAGCCACGATGATACCAGATACTTCCCAATTTTCTTCCAACAAGTTGCTGTGCGCAGCTTCCCTTTTTAAACACTGCAGCTAATGAAGGGAATCAAGGCCCTTTCCTCCCCCGTAAGCCACGCAACCCACGTTGCTCCCTTCTCCGTTCCTCCCTGCCTGCCCTAGGATGAAGAGGGGGTAGGCCTGGGTCTTCCTCTGAATTCCCTCTGCCTTGCACTACCTCTCCCCTACCTCTCCAAGTGTGGTCTTACCAAGGCCTTATAAAGCAGTACTCACACTTCATGTGATTGTGATGGTTCAAAGCAGGAAAGACAAGCTAATGAAGAACAGGGCAAAGACGGGTTCAGAAGAGATTTGTCTGAAATGGAAAAGGGTCTCCTGCTTGAATAGGGGGGGTTGGACTAGAAGACCTCCAAGGTCCCTTCCAACTCTTGTTATTCTATAGACACCAAACAGCATTTGGGATAAAAACAGGCCCATCCATAACAATTAACACAACGCACCGAGGATAACTAATATGCGAGACTTGTCGCATTAATTGCTTTGCATTTTCTATTTATTCTATTAATTGCTTTGCCTTTTGTATTAAAGAAAGAGTACAATGGAATGCAATAAAAATCACCTACAGATCTACTCTTAACTTCTTATTTCAGTGACACTTCCAGGTTGTTTTCTCCTTGCAAAAGTGGAGCAAAAAACAGCAGAAAACAAAGCCTAAATTTGCGTATTAATGGTATACTTATTCATACAGTTCATTTGGACTTTTCTAGCATATTGTCCCTTGTGCTGGTTTGCCTTTATAGTTTCTTCCATGATCTGGGCTCTTTGACAGTGAGTGTCTAATTAGCTGTTGGCCACAAAAATCAATGGAAACAAAATTAAAGTTACAAATCTAACTAAAGTCAATCAGATATCTGTGGGGAAAACATGTTCCAGGGAGAAAGTTTATATAGTGTCATAATTTTATTGAAATCCTATATCTTCCTATTGACTTTTATTGTTTCAAGGGAGAAGCTAGAATTATCATTATTAGAGTCTCGGTGTTGCTTGCAGGTCAAAAAAAACCCCGGACTTCTTCCTTTTATAAACAAGCTGTAATTGTCTGCTTTATTGACCCATAAATCTCTAAACTGACTCCCTTCACTACAGTTGCATTATATTATGCCTTTTGCACTATTTTCTGAGTGGAAAATACAGCCTCGTTCCAATATGTGGACTGGTCTGCTTTCATAATAACTTTTTAATGACAAATTTTACCCACGGTTAAATTTACTTTATTTCTACCCGAGTGAATTTCAGCTGTTAATTTAAAAGCAAACATACAGCTCATTCCTTTTTTGACATTAAGTGAAAAAAAAAACAGGCTAAAATGCCGTCTTGGAAAACACAACTGTGATTATATTTTCAGCCAGTGTTGAAAGTACAGCACAGAAGCAGTTTTGCTCCTGAAAACTGAATTTATATTTTGATTAATTGGCAATGATTTAAGGAGAAGTTTAATATATTGTTCTCGTTATTGGAAAACTTAGGGGGGGGAAATTGCCTCTCGTGGTGAGTTAAGATATTTAGCTACGATAAGAAATATTTTTAGCAAAGCATCTGTATTTTTAACTTGCGCCTAAAACGGCTTGAAGGAAAATTAGTGCAATGAATCTTGAAATTTCTGGATGCCAGTTGCAAAGAATGGGGGAAATTTAACTTCATCTATAAAACCGTCACTGGCTTCGAAATACACTGAATATAAGCAAAAAGAATGTGTTTCTTTTTGAAGAAGGCTCCATTTAATTTTGGGTCAAAATGCATTTGGAAATTAACATTTTTACATGATTGTATTTATGACCTGCATGCATTAAAATTCCTGCAAAATTATTTGGTTTCACGCAGCAAAATTACAATGCTTACTTTTTTTTTTTGCTTTTGCGAACGCAAAGAGGGTTCTGTGGATTTGAAAAGTCTTCAAGTATTGGTTTTATATGATCAAAGGCAGTTTTAGTCAGGACCGTTTCCATCCTGCGACGAGACCTTTAACCCCGTCAAAACCTCCACATCTGCCTATCTCAGGTCCTTGGGAAGGACTCGGCATTTGGCCAAAATGCCAAATCCAGGCTGAACATCTGGCTGACTGCGTGACAAACCCTAACAATAGCAACTGGGCACCATCGGCATTGACAACTTTCCCATCCGGTCAATTGCAAAAGGCAGCTCAGCTTGGAAGAGCTTAACTCCTGTGACGAGACCTTTAACCCCATGAGAACATCCGTGTCATGCCTCTGTCAGAGTCTGAATCCGAGGAGGAAGCCAGAAAGCTGACAGGGAATGGGAGTGTGGTTCTGTTGACTGTTGAGGAGGCTGGGGAAGGGCAAAGCCCGGCTGGGCAGAGCACGAGAGAGGTAGAGCAAGGGAGAGAGAATTCAGAGGAAGACCCAGGCCCACCCCCTCCTCATCCTAGGGCATGCAGGGAGGAACGGAGAAGGGAGCAACATGGGTTGCGGGACTTGCGGGGGAGGAAAGGGCCCTGATTCCCTTCATTAGCCACAGCTGGGAAGACAGGTGATAAGAAAGGCAGGGTGCGTGCGGCAGGTTGCTGGGAGCAAATGTGACTTCCATCCTGTGTTGTTGTGGCTTCTCTGTGTTCCTGGCGTCTTTCCAACTGTGTAAGTTTTGCTGTGCTTTCTAGTCTGAAATTCCTGCTCCTGCCCTGCCAAACGAGTTACTTCAGTTTGGCTTGTTTGGACTTTAAGTTACAGTGTGTGTTGACCATGTTTTGGACTGAATTTTCTGTAGTCAAAGGCTTTTCCTGGGAGAGTTTTTCTTCAGCCAGAAGGTAACCTGGACATTGGGGGCAAAGTTGGAGATAATAAAGGGACTCTTATTGATTATCTGACTGTTGCTTTTGTGCCACGCTCCGGGTCATCACAATCCATACCTGCCTGTCCCAAGTTCTTGGGAAGGACTCGATAGGTAGCCCAAAAATGCCAAACCCAGTCTGAACATTTGGCTGGCTGAGTGACCAACCATAACACCAGAGCTAGTTCTGTTTCTTTCGCTGTTTTACTCTCCTCTGGAGGCAACCGCTCCTCGATTACGACGAAGAGAAGGAGGTTCCTGGCAGGAATCAGAGGGGCCTGTCCAAATAAAGATAGGGAAAGTGGGAAAATAGCTGTTTCCTAGAAAAACAGGTATAAGGACAGGGGGATGTCAACTTGTGGGAGTGGATGCTGAAAGGAGCAAACTCTGAGGTTTTTAAAGCAAAAGAAATGATTAAATGATGAACACCTTGATTAGAAGTTCCCCAAAATGGAATGACTCGTGGCTCAAATCTCATTTGGAGGCGGGGGGAAGTTGCAAGGAAAGTACATTTTGTAAGAAGCGGACTCTAATAAGTGCTTATCTAGGTCTTTTTATAAATACATTTAAAAACTTCAGTTATAAAGTGTGCTGAAGGCAACTCTTGCAAAAGTAGAAAACCAACCAGGGGAAACCAGCCTTGGCTTAGAAAATGTTCATCCGCAGATTTCGATAAACCGCGATTGGGTGATGTTGCTTGCATTTTTTTTTTTTTTGTATGTGCAGCTAGTTCTCAACTTACAACTAGTGACCATATGAAGTTACAACAGCACTGAAAAAAATGAGTTTCTCAAACTTATGACCGTTGCAGCTTCCCCAGGGTCACATGATCAAAATTCAAACGCTTGGCAACTGGCATGTACTTATGACAGTTGCAGTGTCCCAAGGTCATGTGATTCCCCTTTTGCAACCTTCTGACCAGCCAAGTCAATGGAGTAGCCAGATTCACTTAACAACCAGGTTACTAATTAATCAACTGCAGTGATTCACTTAAGAACAGTGGCAAGAAAGGTCGTAAAATGGGGCAAAACTCACTGAACAACTATGTGATGACCCAGGGCATGGCACAAAGGCAACACAATCAGATAAGCAATAAGAGTCCCTTTATTAGTTCCAACTTTGCCCCCAATGTCCTGGTTATCTTCTGGCTAGAGAAAAACTCTCCCAGGAACAGCCTTTGACTGCAGAAAATTCAGTCCAAAACAAAGTATACACAAACTGTAACTTAAAGTCAGGTAATTCGTTTGGCAAGGCAGGAGAAGGAATTGCAGACTTGAAAGCACGGCAAAACTCACACAGTTGGGAAGACGCCAGGAACACAGATAAGCCACGACGATACAAGATAAGATCACATTTGCTCCCAACAGCTTGCTGCACACAGCTTCCTTTTTTTTATACACTGTGTTCCCAGCTGCAGCTAATGAAGGGAATCAGGGCCCTTTCCTCCCCCGTAAGCCCTGCAACCCATGTTGCTCTCTTCTCTGTTCCTCTCTGTGTGCCCTAGGATGAAGAGGGGGTAGGCCTGGGTCTTCCTCAATAAATTCCCTCTCCCTTGTTCTACCTCTTCCCTGCTTTGCCCAGCCAAACTTTGCCCTTCCCCAGTTTCTTCCCCAGCCAATGGAGCCACACTCCCACTCCCTGTCAGCTGCTCAGCTTCCTCCTTGAAGTCAGATTCCAACAAGGACATGACAAACTATCTCACTTAGCAATGGAAATTTGGGGGGGGAGGTGTTTCCCAATGTGGTCGTAAG